TTTTGTTGAATAACTCGTTGGAATCGGTCGAGCGATAAAGATATCTTTTCTTCTATCAAGAACTTGCACGCTACTTGTTTGCTAAGACATTTTTCTTTTTCATCGATTTGTACTTTAAAATATGAGCAGAATTTTACGACTTTCGTCGAATCGAAGATTCAAACATCATGAAAAGGGTTGCCAGTAGCATTGTCGACATTGTAAACAAGTGAATATGTGATCGTTATTGACTTCACTATCGTCTCTATCAATTAAATTATCATAATAAAAGATTTCATGAGATTCGGAACCTGATTCTATGCCGTCCAGAGTAGACTCCTCGATTGTATTCGCCGTCGCATTTAATGCGTCTAAAACAAAACTATTTAAGTTTTTCAATGTATAAATCCTTGTTTCTTTTTATTCATTATCCACTTCAAGGTCAAAAAGTAATTTGAAGACATCAACAAAAGCAAACGAGATGGTTCGTTGAATATCCTTTTTCGTCAATGGCCATACCATCGAGAAAGTTAAAGAAGTTGTTGACTTATTAGCTCGTTTGCGATGCTTAGGAAAGGCTAGATTTGTTGAGTTAATAGCTGAGCTATTTAACTCGCAATGAAAAAGCTCCAGATATCATTCTGTTAAAGCGAAGTGTGCTTTCACATGTTTGAGAATTGAAAAGAAAAATTGGAAGAGTCTCTATGGATAATTTTTCTTCTAATGCAAGAAGAGTCAGATAAGTGAACTGATGAGCATTGAGCTCAATCGATTAAAATAATATGTCTATAATAAGAAATTGTTTTATTGATTTATTTTATGTTGAGAATGAAGATTATTATATGAGTTTCTAGAAAATATTTCATCACAGTCATATTCTTAATTGATGAAGCGACCAAGTCTACCATATGCGGTACAAAAAGACATAAAACCATGCATGATAGAGTCGATCAGCTGTTCTCATGTTTTATCATTATATGCCTTAATTACAGATCGAATGAGTTTTAAATACAGGTGCATAGCTTATGAGTCAAGTGTTTCTTCTAGTGACATTTGTCCCTTATTGCTAGATATTTTTTCATGTGAAGCAAAAATTCTATCTATGGCAATGATAGATATCAGACTTCACTAAGCAATGCATAAGTTTATAAGTCATAATCATTAACTGTGATAAAATATCAAGTGAAATACATTGTCTACCAAGCCTGATAGTAGCAATGGATGAATGTAAAAGATCCCGTAATTTCGTGCATACATAAACAGGATCTTGGAAGCAAAGTACTAATGGTCGATGTTGAAAAACAAAGAGCCATGCTCAATTAGCAGGTATAGATACTTCAAAAGGATCAGCTCGATTGCTCAGTGCCATATTAGGTAATGACACAAAAACCACTGAGACAAGTTTCATAATTTTACAGAAGGTACTTTCGATCAGCGTCCATTGGGGAAACCGAATATCCGAATACCTTTTGCCAAAAACTGATAAAATATCCAAATCCATCGTCGCATAATGTTGAATGACGTGTACTTTCCATTGGTTCTACAAGGTAAAAAAATAATAAGAGCAAAAGATTTTCCTATACTCATTAAAGGTTGTATCATATGCGTATCAGACATGATGGGATCGGTTCATGTTTTGTTTTTAAAATAAACTAAGCTAAGTTGAAAACTCTCAAGATTTACTATTACTTCAAAAAGATATCAGTTGTAAACCGTTTCAATGAAGGAAATTTTTTACACATAGTGACATTTCAGAGGACTCAAATCGTAGCAGCTAGGTATACTCAACTTTTGAGATAGTTAAAATCGATGTCACAATTAGAATTGACTTTGTGAGATGTTTGTTCCACTTATAATTTATTTTTGTATATATCAATCTTTGCCAGGATTGAATAACTATAAATAATATGAAAAAAAACAGTGAAAAGTGTACAGACCATATTGAGAACAAAAAGGAGCTGAAGGAAAGGATAAGTTCAACACACAGATCTAATTATAGAGCAAATAAGAAAAAGAGAGACGAATCCTGAGAGGGAAAAAAATCTGATGACTGCATTCAAATAGATACAGAACATTAAAATGTTGACCTCTACAGAACTTTTTACTTTGAAAATGATTATTTTTTCAAATCGAACTTCCCTGTTTGCACAGTTTTTAACGATTAATAGTTTCTATGTTGCCTAACTATAATTTCGTATATTTTTCTGCAGATTTTTATTGATTTATGTAGCTTAGTTATCACTAACTTCGATGTTGTACATAGAGTATTTTACGTATATCAATACAGAGAACTCATTATCTGATTTCTATTGCAATTCCAATGCTTTTCATCCCATAATTTCATAGGAGGACAACTATTTTAAAATCTTTGAATCTTTTTGAATGCAACATGGAGTAATATTCTTTCTAGTTACATGTCGTCTATGGATGATTGATTGTCATACTATTGGGAATATAAACTACTTTGGAACGAACTAGTCTCATATGTATGTTCAAAAATACAAGCTGCTCAACTATTCGTACCAAAAGACAGTTTAGAAAAAAATCTCACAGAAATAACATTTTCTCGGTTTTGACAGCCTATGAATATATTTATTTTCTAAATATATTGTCTTTGATTCTGAAATATGGATAGATGAAAAAAACCATTGAGAACATGTGGCTACATAACTCATATTTCAGTGGCACTCATATAAGAAATTTTCTTCGCCTTCGTCGTTTTACCTTACCAGAGTTGAGAAGATGTCAAATCTTCAAGTTCTATGCACACCAGAAAGTTTTGTATAAAGAATACAGTGAATATTTTTGTAAAGCATCACATTTTAGGTCAAACCAATGCAACGTCAGTTTTTAAAACTATTTCGAGAGATATTTTTACATAGTTAATAAGTTATTATAATCTTGTCAATCACGGTGATAGTAAAGTAATAATATAACATACGAAGTGAGAGCATGTTTCAAAAATTTATATTAAAACAAAAACTCAAACACCAGAAGAAATGTGCATGAAAGGCACAACTAATCTTATCGAATAATCAATTTGTCCGTTCTTGTGATATAACATTGATAACATGTTTAGAATCGCTTCTGATTTTTCTTAAAACGAATCGATTCCGTCACTGTCTCTCATGTTCTTTCTAATAGAAAAGTAGTTTTCCATCTTCTAAAATGGTTGAGATGTGCAGCTCAACATTTTTTCAGAGACTTTTGCATCTTTTGTCATTTTATAAGTATATCTTGTCACTAGAAAACAATATAATAGATAAAACGGTGCGTTGATGATAATGATACACCTTTACATTTACACACCTGCATACTCATTACATTCAAATGCAAAGAACTCTAAAATACTTCGTCATGTATCTCATGTAAGTGGAAACAAAATTTTTAAAAATCTCAAGAAAGGTTGTGCATCTTCTACATCAGTAAATCGACAATACAAATCAGGTGATTTTTATGAAAGCACAGATTTCAAAACATAATGATTCTTTTATATATATTTCATTAAAGAAAAGCAAAAACAAATACTTTAACTCAATCCTTGTCATTGAATTTCTCAATAATTTACCAAAAATACACAATACCTTAACTTACGTTAGTAAGAAATAAATCTTGATCGAAACTTGGACAAATTATCTGTTCTATCTCCTTCTATATATTATTTGAGTGCATTACCGATCTATTAATTACGTTGTAGCTCTCATGCTAGATCCCTGTAAAAGGTAGCCGTCATACTTAATGGTAGTTAATTGACTAACACATCACTTCAATCAAACATATCGGTCATTTATAGCGATGATATTGTTTGCTATTCTTTTTCTTTGTTGTCTCTTGTTCTTTCATGATGCGAAAGCTGATAAAGAGAGTCTCTAGATTACTTTTATGCTTACATATAAAAAAATAGAAACGTACCTGCTGCAATTTTGTCTTTCATCAAACGACACAAATATAATGCAACTTGTTTTTCTTCTTTTGATCGTAATTGTTTTGCAAAGTAATATTCATATCGCAAATTTGTTTCACGTTATTGTTAGCTCGCCATGCTCTCACACAACAATCACGATACATGATCCTTTTAATTGTTTTAGATTAGTAGAAACCATTAAATTTATTAGAGGACGATTGATTCAACTATGATACATCGGGATGTTTGCACTTTTGCCGGTATGCCATAATGTAAAATGATTTATTCGACCTTTAAATTATTATTTTTATAGTTCTTTGGTCTATATTCACATTTTGTTACTCTCAAGATATAAACTATCAATGTAACTTCGACAGTGACATGACAGGTGATTGTCAATTCAGACTAGAGTCAGGAGGAACCGATAATTTGAACTTAACATATGGCAGTAATCCCGGTATTAATCCTACTCAACCCTTGTCTGATGTTACTGCCATTCGTAAGTGTTTTCAAATGAAAGAAAATACAAATCATTATCGAATATCATTTTTTATACAGAATCACTAACTACACCTAACAGTGAACCCTGTGTTTTTCCATACGCCTATCCATTGGTAGGCTGGCAAATGTACTTTTGTCGACGTAATAATAATGACAGTTACACATGTCCAACTACATCCGGCCGTCCGGGCCAATGTCTTATAGGTTGGTTATTTTCTGAGATTTTACATCATCTTAATAATTTTTCCACAAACTGCTTCTTTGTAGGAAAATTCGCTAACATAAGAACATCAGGCACTGGTAAATATGATCAGACATATTCAACTGATGTTACACGAAGCTCCAATCCTATCCAATGTCTCGATTTCTATTATTATATACCAGGTAAAACAAGTAATCCCAAAATGCAAGTGGGATGGAAAACAAATACAGACACACAACAAATAGTTGAATTCGAAGTACCGTTAGAAAACAGGTGGCAACACAGTCGGAGTAGCTTTACAGCTCCTATATCACCTCCTTATCAAGTGAGTAATATAATAGTCTCTTATGGATATAAATAATTGATGGCTTCATTGAATTTTGTTCATTGTCATTTAAGCTTACGTTCAGAATGATGCGTGATTTCACAAGTTCAAGTAATTATTTTGGTTTGGATGAAATCAAGATCTATGACCAACCTTGTGGTATGCTTTCTTATCGCCAGCTGCTTACTTGTTTTGACATTCAGCGTATTTTCTGTTACAGATTCTGGCATTACGACAACTACCACTGAGCCACCAATTACCGAATCAACAACAACTACTACTGAAACGCTGACTACAGAGTCAACAACAACTACCACTGAGACACCGGCTACCGAGTCAACAACCACTACCACTGAAACTCCGACTCCCGAATCAACAACAACTACTACTAAAACATCAAATACCGAGTCAACAACAACTACTACTGAAATACCGACTACAAAATCAACAACAGTTACCAGTGAAAAATCAACTACCGAATCAATGACAACTACCACTTCATTACCTGGAACCTCTACCTTTACATCAACAACAACTACCTCATTATTACCCAAAACAACGACTACTGTACGAACGTCAACAATGTATGTTTTATCTTTGAATCTTTGAACAAATCATTAAGTCAGTGATCCATTAAGGAACTTCGAGCTTGTGAGAAAACTATCATAAGATAATGTTTTTATCATTTTTCATGAAAGTCATTGTCCTTGCATTCTTCTCATATCAAAATCAACCATGTTTCGGTTGGGTTATTTATTCAAGTTCCAACCCTCTCTAATAATGTATCACACATGCTTCGGAGAAAATTTAATTTGTGGATATTGAAATCACTTTTTATCTTATCTGATAGTTAGCTGTCATATATCTTTTTGATATTGTTCATTTCAAACTTTATAACAGGGCTGGAAATGTGTTCACCAGTTGCAAGAAGATTTTTCTCTGAAGCTTGATAAGCCACTTTTTTGTCGGACGGAACCAGCCGAATTTTGATCCTTTGTTCATTTCTGGCAAAGTTTTACCTATCCGAAGTTATAGAAAGTATAAGAAATGTTTTATGAGATGAAAGCTGCGTGAACTTCATGTGCTAGTAATAGAAGAAATCATATTAATTAGTTAAATTGTTTGTATCTTTTATGCGAAGTCGTACGCTTATTAGATCGACAGAAAAAAATCTGCGCAAAATAAACCATCGCCAATCGTACGAGAGGTAAAGAACAGTTTATCTAACTCTTCAATTTTGATTTACGGATCAATCCATAGAAATTACACTGATTTCTGGAAAACAATAATCCTATAATTTATGCGCGATCTCCCGAGCGAAAGCTTTTTTTCGATTGTAATCTTACAGTGAAGAGTACGTGGTCAAAAATAGTCTGTATACGAAAAAAGAAAACATTTAATATTAAAAAGTGAGAGATCCACTTCATTCTTCAGGAACA